GCGTAGGGGTCTTTAGCAGTGGGAGGAAACCGGGGGACCCGGAGAAAACCCACGAGGTTGGACAGGCGACCCTACTCCTTGTCACGTACAACCGGGGATTCGAAACCACGCCAGTCGACTCATTGACAGACTTTATGATACAGCGCGCGCACGTGTTAACCTTTCGACCATCCAACCCCCCGGATGTAACTAGAGTTAAGTATGGTTTTCCACTACGTACAGTGGACTACACAATGCCTCGTACAATGTCAGCAAGAATCAGAGGTGTTATATCGGTTTAAGCAATATTTAAAGATATACAAACAAAGACAAAAAAAAACAAACCTCGGAGGCTCATATTAATTTGCTTCCTTGTGTATCCGGTTTCAAGTAATATGACACAGTATAGACAAATAAATAAATCGATCACCAATGATTTCCTCATTGACTTTAATGGTAACTCCCAACTGGGACAACATAATTATGGCAACCTCTTGCTCAAAATCAGGTATTGATAACTTGAGATACACAAACTGGAAGTAAAGACCATTAAAGCTGCAATTTCATATTTTTAAGTTATATTTTTAAAATTTATTAAAATAAAGCCTTAAAATAGATCGTATATATAAACAGTCCTACCTTGTTAAAGAATAATCCTATAATTCACTATTGCCAGTTGAGAAATTGGCAAAAATATCATTTTCAACTTTAAATTCAAACGTCTGAAGATAGCTATTCCATGGGGGGGGGAATAAAAAACAAGGGAGGTAATTGTGTTATTATTTTCGAGGTCAAAGGATTTTTAAGAGGGAGAATAAGACCTATAATCGCTTGTCTGCGATATCACCTCGGTGGAAGCGGACGTAAAATACAACTAACTAACAACAACCTATAATCGTATAATAGTGAGTTGACAACCTATTGAGCAAAAGACATAGAAATAATTATGTTTCGACTTTCTTAGAAAATATGAAATTATCGCTTTAAACATGCAATTTTTAACCCTACATTTCAACCTAACCAAACTCTCTTCTCTCATATATTTCCGCCTCAAAATCATGAATATTCACCACAACCTGGCAGAAAATGTATTTACAAACCCTTTTCTTCGATTCTATACACTAAAAAATCAACAACAAGCGCCATGCAAAAGGGTGAAAAAGGGAAAGGGAGAGAAATACTAAAACTATCTTTCGCCCTACATATTTGGTGAGCTGTGTCCATATTGGATACAAACAGTATCCTCACTGCGCTGCTGCGATCAACGGCGGCCAGAAAATGAACAAGGTCGCCGGCAAACGTGAACACTAGAAAATGACCCCAAAAATTACAAACTCATCGCTTTTCAGGTCAAATCGCAGAACCCTGGCGTTTGTTTTGAACATGCTCAAAACAAACGACGTCACTAGGCAACCATTGGCGTCCATTTATACCACAGCACGATATCTAGCGTTTCCACCACGCTGTTACCACGCTTATGGCGATCTTGAAACTCTATGGGACCATTTTCCGTCGCGTAGCAGTGCAGTAAGGACGCCACCCCGGTCTAACAGGGGTATAATGGACGATTCTAGTCGCAGTTCTTGTTATTTGTGTAACGGTATGTCACACAACAAACGCCCACAGGAGTTAATTCCCTTGAATTACGATTTACTGTGTCCTGTTGGAAATGTTGTGAGATTGGCTCCTGATGGAAATGTTGTGAGCCTGCGTCCTGTTAGAAATGTTGTGAGATTGGCTCCTGTTGGAAATGTTGTGAGTCTGAGTCCTGTTAGAAATGTTGTGAGATTGGCTCCTGTTGGAAATGTTGTGAGACGGGTCTTGTTGGGAATGTTGTGAGCAATCACCCCAACTGAATTTTTTCCCAGAATTTTATGGTCTGATTTGTTTTTAAAATATGCTTTTATTGTCTCTACATATGAGGATAGGAAACTATTATACTCGACAAACAAACGCCAAGGATATGTCAGAAAGGGAAATTCTGCTTGCGCCGCGTGTATTAGCCAATATATTGTCATCCACGTGAAATCGGATTGTCGGCGATAGCCAATCCTTGGTGTGGGCAGGCCTTTATTGGTTCACTTCCTTTAAATCTAATCTCGTGATTTGACTGATAGAATAACTATAATGTGTAATTTGAAATACTATTTCAAGAACAACCTGTCAGTCAATTGGTCGGCCAATCGTAAGGCTTGAATGACAAGTGTTATTTATTCGGGATGGTTAGAACCATTCGGCAAACCTCGGCCGATTCCAGTACTCTACATCTAGCCTCGGCTCTATGACGGTAAGTGATATGTACCTACACCTATAAAGTTGCGATGCGGCGCCGGTTTACTTATTAGAAAAACATGTCGCTTTTAGAAAGAAGTTCTCAAAATATCGTCGTTCGAAGACTGTGTAGAATGTTCAGTGCAAAGTTGCCCTTGTTTACATAAAAATCGGATAAACTTGAAAGTAAAATCGGCTTCAGACTTTGAAAAATGAAATGAAATGAGGTTTAACGTCCTACTGTTTTGCTCCGAACTGAGCTAATGAAGACGGGCATACGTCATACAGTGTGCTATGAGGGCAATTTTGCCCGGACAGCGGCACTACGGCCTATACTCTTATATCGAATTCCAACTATCAAGGGATCTTTTACGTGCACGCCAATGTGTATACGGGACCCCGTTTTTCCGTCTCATCCGAATGACTAAACAGCTGTCCTTGTCAGGCAGACTTTGAAAGCTTTGTCTGATAAAACAATCTTCAAAGGCGTCGTCATGGGCGACGTTGTTAGTCCGGGAACTTGAAAGTAGTTCCAATGGCGGACTTCGTCATACAGCCGAGGCTAGATGTAGGGAACTGGAGTCTGTTGAGGTTTGCTGAGTGGGTTAGAACAAATGAGGCGTCAACTAAGGCATTCGAAGGTACAATAATACTTCTGGTATTGAGTATTCCGTCATGCTCTATAATCCGGCATATGTCAACGATCCGATACGACGTCGGAAGTGACAGATTCCATTGTACTACCAAATGATTGTACACTACAGTGTATAATTATTATTTCATCTTCGGTGTGCACGGTGGACGGCCTGGATGGATGAAAAACCGAGGTCCCTTGTACACGTTGGCGTAAGAACCCATGGCAGTTGTAATTCGAATGAGAGCCTGCTGGAAATGACGCTGCCCCGGCAAAATGGCCCTTACCGCACACATCTATGGCAAGGTTTGGGGGCATTTGTGTGGAACTTTTCACCACAAGAGTTCCACAAGATACTGGGTTTCGGAAAATAAATACATTCCCCAAGACTTTCGACTTAAAATAATATTCATAGAGTGTTTTGGGTCTGTGATGTTTTTCACCACAAGAGTTCCACAAGAGATTGGACTTTTTTTTAAAAATTTCTTCTAATACCTCCCTATGTGCCTGTGTGGTACCACATGTCATGTCTAACCGCACAATGAATGGCGTATTAACATCTGCATTACCCCGGTTGGTACAGAAAAGACGGACGTCAAACCCCATTTTATTTCATTTGGTTAATTTCAGTGTTAATGTAGTTGTTAGTGCACCAATCTGATTAAAACACAGATCCTATTTCGTTTCGTATTTTATAGTTCAAAATTTTGTTTTGCTCGTCTTTTACTACACTAGGATCTGGAAGAGTTGTTATATAACCCGCGTTCAGGATGATGTGAGGTATTAGCCAATGAAACGGTCTGTTACGCCGAGTTATTGGCGTTAGATGCACAAAACTGTGGGTAACCCACTAGAAACGTCAACGCTGATTGATTAATCAATGTATGATGTCATAAGGTCAAAAGCCGCTCGTATGAAACCTGAGTCGACATTCCAGTACAACTAGTCAGATCTTCATGTAGTGTAGGCCATCAAAAGTAAAAAAAACCCAAAGTCTTGCTAGCTTAGAACACCGTCGGTCTTATTAGGCCATGGGATTTGGCTAGTGTTGGGAGGCGGTGGGTGGCCGAATGGTGAGCTGTACCATAAGGTCTGTCATTGAGTCAACTAGCGTGGTTTCGAATCCGCGGTTGTACGTGACACGGAGTAGTGTCGCCTGTCCAACCTCGTGGGTTTTCTCCGGGTCCTCCGGTTTTCCCCCACTGCTAAAGACCCCTACACGCAATACAATTGAACTATATGTTGAAATACAATTGAACTATATGTTAAACCCCATTTCTCTTCCTCTCGTGACTCCTGGGACTTGGTAGTGCTAAGACCAGGTGATTTATATTTGGAATAAATCAAACGTGTTAATATTGTTACCCTAGCTAGCTAGACCTACACCTAAATTAACGGAAACGAATTCATTTTAAAAATTAATTTCCAATTAATCGACCTTTAAAATTAGGTAGAACCTGAATTATTAAAATGTAATCCAATTCCCCCGTACTCACATATATGACCAGATTTGCGTGTAGCCGCGGCGTTTGTAACTCACATAAGTAATGATAAGGAATACAATATAAATGGAAATTGGGTTTAACGTCCTACTTTTCTTAACACCTGGGCTAATGCGAGAGAGAGAGATGGGGTTTAACGTCCACTCGACACAAACTAGGTCATTTCGGGACTAACACATGGTTCAATTTTATTTCAATAATTCGCTTGCGTGTAGGGTCTTTAGCAGTGGGAGGAAACCAGAGGACCCGGAGAAAAACCCACGAGGTTGGACAGGCCTGGGCTAATGAAGACTGATTATATGAGTAGTGCGGTATCAGGGAAATTGTGCCCGGACAACGACGCTACGGTCTACTCTTATTTCGAATACCAACAGTGAAAGAATCTTTTAGGCGCAGGCCAATGTGTACATGGGAGCTCGGATCTTCGCTCCCATCCAAAGGACTAATGTGTTGTGAGGAACATACTGCAGGTATACATTTTATCGAATGTCCATTGTCAGGGAGTTCTTTTACATGCCTAGCCTTGAGGTCGGGTGTTCGAGCCCTGCATTGGCCGAGAAAGTTCACCCAGATTTTTCGTAGTGGTTTCCCCTTGTCAGTGTTGCAAGACGGAGGGCTTGACAAGAACAGCTGTCTAGTCGTTCGGATGGGACGAAAACCCGAGGTCACGTGTTCACATTGTTGTGCACGTAAAATATCCTCTGACAGTTGGAATTCGATATATAGGCCGTAGTGCAGCTGTCCGGGCAAAATTGTTCTCATAGCACACTGTATGGCGTATGCCCGTCTTCATTAGCCGAGTGCGGAACAGAACAGTAGGACGTTAAACCCCATTTGATTTCATTTCATTCCATTTCTTTTACATGCACTGCTTTCCAATCCCCGATTGTACGTGACAAGGATTAGGGTCGCCTATCCATCCTCGTGGGTTTTCTCCGGGTTCTCCGGTTTCCTCCCGCTGCCAAAGACCCAAACACGCAAGCGAATAATAGAAATAAAATTGAACCATGTGTTAGTCCCGAAATGACCTAGTTTGTGTCGAGTGGACGTTAAACCCTATTTCTCTGCACCACTGACTGACAAGTGGAATGTTCACGGCCAACATCGGATCAAACCTTGGAACTCCTGGTTAAAGATACATTATGGGAGATTAGATAAAGAGCTGGCAGTTATCACTATAATAGTTAAAAACTAGATAATGTAAAGGGATTACTGAAAATTTCTGTCAAATTGATCCACTATGAATTGAGATTTTAGCGATTAAATTTTCCGCCTAGCCTCGATCATCATTACTAAAGTCGGTAGAATAAAAAAAAACATAGTCTCAATTATCAATTTCATGATTAAATTATGAATGGAAGTCGAACAGCAAATGGGAACCTAATCCAATAAACATCGCAGGCTAGCGATGCCATCTAGAGTTGATTATGGTCTGAATAAGTTAATTAATGTCTAATTAATTTAGATAACATTTCAGGCCTAACGAAAGACCTGCAATAGGCAGATTTAGCTCTTGCATAATGTATGTTTAATGTACCAGAGCCTCAATCAATCCCCAAAATAGAAAAATCATAGTTGGATCGCTATAGATGTGGCTTTATTATTAAAATAGTCGTTTTGTTATAGAATTCTAATCCGGTTTTTTGAAGGTTTCGGGGTTAATGGAAAAATAAAACATGATATGCTAAATATGTGAACATGTGATCTTATTACATAGTTGTAAATGGAAGAAATGGAATTTGCGCCCCACTCGGCAAACCTCGGCAGATTCCGTTACTCTACATCTAGCCTCGGCTGTATCAAAATTGCGTCGTTGGAAGCGTGTGTAGAATTTTTCAGTGCAAAGTTGTCCTTGTTTGAAGAAAATCGGCTAAACTTGAAAGAAAAACAGTTTCCGACTTTGAAATATTTGTATGATAATTAAAACATTCTTCAAGGGCGTCCTCATGGGCAACGCCATTTGTAATCCGGGAACTTGAAAGTAGTTCTATTGGCGGACTTCGTCATACAGCCGAGGCTAGATGTAGGGTACTGGAATCTGCTGAGGTTTGCCGAGTGTTTGCGCCCCTGAAAAAATATGTCTACGTAATCAAAATTAGCGCACCGTCCCATTTTGTCATCTTCAGGACGAAATCCCAATTGATAGGTCGTTAATGTTATAAATAAGTTGAAAATAAAAAAAAATAACTTGGAATATTATCGCAAAATGGTAACCCTTCAAATAATGGCGTCCCATAGTATGAAGACCATTCCACTATTTCTACCCAAAAAGCCGACGTATTTATAGGCAATGGACTAAAAGGGGGAGTTGTATCTAAATGACTCTAGGTAATGAATGTAATCACCAGTCTCTTTCTTATTCCGTCATTGAATTACTTTATTTAACTTTATTTGAAACATTTTGATCTGATATTTATTTGGTAGAGATCTACAAGAAAATATGTATAATTTCCTCCCCGGGCCAGGTATAAAATATCTTTTTAGAGTTTCGTTTTTTTAAGAGCAGAGACCACCCGAACAGCATTGTGTTAGTGTAACTTGTCTCATATCAGTCCTGGACTGAGGTGGCTTAGCTATTTAAGGCTCTGGGGCCCGTTTCACGAACTTGTAACTAAGATAAAATCCAAATTTTAGTAATTTGATTGGATAATATTAGAATGATTTTAGTGCTTAGCCAATCAAAATTGAAGTATCTATTACAATTTGGCTTTTATCTTTAGTTAAGATTTCGAGAAACATGCCCCTGGATCGCTAACTTGAAAATCCCGTGTTCGTTTCCGGTGTCTTAAGAGAAAGGTAATGGCATTTCCCAGTGTGGTTCCCCAGTGGTGAAAGCTGGATGGCATGGCAACGAATAGCATCTAGTTGTTGGAATGGGACAAAAAAAAAACAATATCCCATGCACACGCTGGTGTGCACGTTCAAGAATTCCAAATAAAAGTAGGCTGTCCGGGCATTTTTGTTTATCGTCGCTTTCTGCATTTCATAATCGCGTCTTGATAAGCCCGTATTGAGTAAGACCTTCAACCTGTTTTCATTTCATTGATACAGACTGAAGGGAAGTAACTCGTCATCGACTCTTGACGAATACCATATATGAAATGAAATGAAATGGGGTTTAACGTCCTACTCTTCTGCACCTAACCTGGGCTAATTGAAGACGGGCATACGCCATACAGTGTGCTATGAGGGAAATTTTGCCCGGGCAGCGGCGCTACGGCCTACCCTTATATCGAATTCCAACTGCCAAGGGATCTTTTACGTGCACGCCAATGTGTACACCGGACCTCGGTTTTTCGTCCCATCCGAACGACTAGGCAGCTGTCCTTGTCAGGCCCTGCGTTCTGCATCACTGACAAGGGGAAACCACGCCGGGAAATCGAGATGAACTTTCTCGGCCAATGCAGGGATCGAACACCCGACCTGAATACCATATAAATTTTAAAAATAACCATAATCTGGCGAGACGTCACTAAAGTATGATTAACAGGCTTAGAATGTGTTTTCAGCAGCAACCAGGCTAATGAATGTGGGCATACTATGCTGTGTACTATGGGTAGATTTTGTCCGGTAGGGGAGAGTAGGGACCAGTGCGCATATGGGACCGATTGGCCATCGCTTGTATCAGAATGGTGAGTGGGAAAATCGAATTCTACCAGCCAACATTATGTAACCTTGACCTAGCCTAGAATACATATATACTTGGTTCTTCTTCGTCTCGAACTTTCCACATTTTCAAATTTTGAAATAAAGAGGGTTTAACGCCCACTCGACACAAAACTGTTCACTTCAGAACTAACATATTGTAATTAAATTACTTGCACGTAGGGGTCTTTAGTAGTGTGAGGAAACCGGAGGACCCGGAGAAAACCCACGAGGTTGGACAGGCGACCCTACTCCTTGTCACGTACAACCTGGGAAACGAAACCACGCCAGTTGACCCAATGACAGACCTTACGATACAGCGCACACGTGCTTTTTAATTTATCACGACCTTGACAAACCGAAAATTAAATTGACCAAAGAGTTGTTGTATTCTGTAGAATTATTTCTGGTGTCCGCCTATGTATTTTCAGTTCAATTACTGACATCAAATGGGATTTAACGTCCTTCTGCTCTGCTTCGACTGGGGTAATGAAGACGAGCATGCGGTATTTAGTGGGTTATGAGGGAAATTATCAGCTGTACTATCCTATGCTAAGGGTTCCTTTACATGCACGCCAATGTATACAAGAGACCTCGGGTGTTCGTCCCATTCTGAAGACTAGAGAGCTGTCCTTGTCAGGCCCCCCTTCCTGCACCACTGACAAGGGGAACAGCGTCGAACGAACCAGATGAACTTTCACGGCCAATGCAGGGATCGAACACTCGACCTCCAGACTAGCGAGTCATCGTTTTCACCCACTGAGCCACCGTAGTCCCCAGTTCAATTATTAAATGCCATTCAAACACAATGTCGAAGTAGCAGCAACCCCATGGCAGATTAGTAGCGGGTGGGACGATTTACCCAATACTACCCAATACCACCCAATACCACCTGTATCCAGTATCTAGGCAAATAATTACATTAATTTATTCCATTTAATCACAAAAAAACCTTTTTGGACAATAATATAGTAAGTAATATATAAAATAAGAAGTGACTTACTTAGGCAGTGTTATTGGCCTGTTTAGTTGTCTTCACCGGGTAAATTTTTAACAAATATGCCACAATAAACGAATTTAAATATAAATAACATTCCATAAAGCACAAAAAGATAAAGAAAAATATCAAAAAACATGTTTTACAAAATACGCAGTGAAATCATACAATACAATATTTGTATGGTACTCGTTTTAAACCACAAAGCACAACTGGTGTTGATTTGATATTCATTGAAAAGATATACGCATATATAAAATACATTCTTTCAAAATAACGGTAAAAGTATACAATTACACAACTCCCGTCAAAAGTCAAAACCCAGTAACTCACTTTTAGGACCAAATTTGTAGTTAATAGGGTATGTGGTTCCTGATGTTGTAATAGATATTCCAATCTTTTGATTTTGTAAGCAGTTATACCCATGGCACAATTTCCTTCGTTTGCCTAGTATGCCACAGCAAAACCTAGTAACTCAATAGTCAAATCAATGGACAAGCGGGGCTTTAATATTCATTCATTACGTTTTCCTTTGTTTTCTCAAAATAAGAAAAACGTGAGTTACTAGGTGTTGCCTTTTGAGGGGAGACAATATCTTTAAAGTACTTGACTTAAAACACAATTGGTATTGATATGTATAATATATATAAAATAGTGTTACACACTCAGCATTGTGTTTAATAAACCATGGTTAAATCTATTTCTTAAGGCCAGCTCCATTTTTGTCAAGGTCGTTGAGATGTAAATAATGTTAGGACACGTGATTGTTGGCAAGATTGTAGTTTAGGGTTAGGGTAAGCATTGGGACTAGGTCCACGGTTAGGATAGGGTTGGGATTAGCGCTAGCACGTTTTACATCTCCTGACCCATGACGAAATATTGAGCTGGCCTTATCGTTTAGCACTAACAAATGGAGGCAGACCACCATTAAATTTCATCATCTCAGTACCCACGAATTGTAGTTCGTCTATTTATAGCAATTCTCTCTCTCTCTCTTTTCTCCCCTTTTGCATGCCCATTTGTGTTGATTTTCTGGTCTAGAATGGACGAAGAGGGTTTGAATTAACATTTTCTGCCAGGTTTTGGTAAATATTCATGATTTTGAGGCGGAAGGATAAGAGGGTTATCAGGTTAGCTACGGCGATATGTACGGCAACTAGTTACATGTTTTTAGTATGCTTCTTCAAGTTTGTGTATCTCAAAATTTTGGTGGTCAACCTCATACAAATTTTAGTGCAAAGACATGACCATTTGTTCCTCTGTCTGTAGTGAAAAGCATTCAGCCCAACGAAAATTTGGGGAAAAGTTGGAGGTGGGCAAAGAGGCCAGAATTAACATTGAAGTCAATGGGGAAATTAATGGTGGTCTGCCTCCAAATAAACCATGGATTGTGTGTAGTTACCTCCCTTTCTCAAGGGAGTTCTCGTGGCTATTCTCGGGTCTGTTGTTATGATCATTTTCTTGCAGAAAATCCAATTAGGCCTACGGTTAATTCACCAAATCTTGCTTTGCAAGACCTTTACACACACTAACATGCCAATTTTTCTTCTGAAAGTTCGTGAATTTCCGATCTCACCCAGTCTGACACTGACGATAGGAAGTAATAAACATTGCACATTAACATCTGAGTGGTCAACTTCGTATACCAACTAGCAGCCAGAAAAATAGAAAAAGTCCGCGCATTACCATGTTTTTTAAAGTAAAGAATGAATAAAAACAAGGGAATGTAAGGACTATTTCTATTTTTCTCGTTTTCTCTTATCTAGTGACATTCAATTACTTTTTTGAGTTGTAAGATATCTTCTCACAGACTTACGTGACAATTTTTGGTCTTCGGAGGAATTATCAGTGAGCAGAAATTCGCCCGTGTATCTGTTATCACTCTTCACTTCAGTCAGCTATATAGAAGGATAACTCGTGGTGTTTGTTTCCTTTTGCTTTCGTCACGTCCGCTTCTCAAAATCTTCCTTACTCATCTATCGTAACAGTGATCGTAATAGTGTCCTTTAATTCACGAATAACGCACCATGTTCTTGTAAAATGAATTATGTTTACGACCAGATCACACCTACGATAACCCGAATGTCCAATTTCTCGTCATTGTGTCGGGGTAAATACACTGACTGCGCCATATCATTCTGGACTGATTTAGTTAGGTTTACATCTCATAGCATTTCTAGCAAATTACTCCATTTTTCATTTCCGATTTTCCTTTGAAGAGATGTCGATAACTTAATCGTAGACATATATATAGACAAAATTTCAATGATGCTCACTTGGTCGATATGTTTGCTAACATATCAAAAACTCCACATCAAATATCCAATATAGAGACACAGAGAGAGAAATGGAGTTTAACGTCCACTCGACACAAACTAGGTCATTTCGGGACTAAACATATAGTTTAATTTTATTTCAATAATTCGCTTGCGCGTAGGGGTCTTTAGCAGTGGGATGAAACCGGAGAACCCAGAGAAAACCCACGAGGTTGGATAGGCGACCCTATTTTTTGTCACGTACAACCGGGGATTCGAAACCACGCCAGTTGACTCAATGAAAGGCCTTATGATACAGCACGCACGTGCTAACCATTCGGCCATCTACCCCCCCCCCCTATCCAATATGGGCTATAAGGCCAGTTGTGTAAATACACATTTGGACTAGTGGTTTAAACGGGACTATCTTTCTCGGACCGGAAGTCAAAGGTTTACACGTTCTAACAGTCAGTATTGTATGTTGTTTCAATATGGCATCATCGCATCATCGGTAATGTTGTGTTCAATATGGCATCATCGCATCATCGGTAATGTTGTGTTCAATATGTGTTCAATATGGCATCATCGCATCATCGGTAATGTTGTGTTCAATATGGCATCATCCGTAATATCCATTGGATAACTTGTATTTATATAAAAATTCTTCGTCCGGTTTCCGGTTAAGGTACTTTTGTTCATATGTCCTGTATAAACCGTTACAGTACTATCGACCAGATATTCTGTATCCTGCTATGAAATTATTGTCCTCTTGTCCTGTGCTATTGTCTGCATGTTCTGTTGACTGGCAACACGTCTTAGATACAGGGAGCCACGGTGGCTCAGTGAGTAAGACGCTAGCTCGCGTTGGCCGAGAAAGTTAATTTGGATTTTCCTGGCAAGGGACAACGTATAGTCGTTCGGATGGGACAAAAACTCGAGATCCCGTGTATACATTGGCGTGCACGTAAAAGATCCCTTGACAGTTGGAATTTAATATAAGAGTAACTGTCCGGGAAAAATTTCCCGCGCACTGTATGTCCAAAATTATATTTGGTACGTGTTTAACCAGTTCTATCACATATGTAATAGTGACTCACACATATATATTGTCCTTCATTAACCCAGTTGCAGCAGAACAGTAGGACGTTCAACCCCATTGTATTTTCATTTCCTATACACAGTTGAAGTCTAACAATTGCCACTTTATTCAATAAGCGAAAAAAAAAAAAATCATTCGTGTTTGTCATCTTTTTCAGTCATCTAAAAATATTTTCTAAAAATATATTTTATGTCTTTTTTGATTTCCATTTTGTTGCTAAACAGCATTTGGTATTACAGAACTGTTTACGGTATATGTGACAGTTGAATTCCTATGAAGATTTTCCAGTCATACGAACTCGGGTGTCGGCGTACTTTGAAAATGGTTGGAACGTCTTCTGATGTAATTCATCAAGTTTTTAACTCGGTCTCTAAAGCGTCTATTTAATACCCAATACATGACGGGGTTTACAGCGCTGTGGGCGTGGCCAAGCCATAACGCGAATGGCAAACCGGAAGTGGGAGCGTCGGTGCTTGTTAAATCGACACACAGCGAGAATATATTATACGGCAACCAGCAAATCAGAAACAGTATAACTAAAATGATCAACATTTTAGCTGCCTGTTTTCTAGACATGAGCCTTCCGGAAGAACCATCGGAGTTATCTTCCCTTAACATGGTGTTCGTGCACAACGTCTCTCCCACATGCGCGTAACAGATCAACAATGTGACGCTTGGGATAAGATAAACGGCGAACAGCAGAAAAATCCCAAACGATCGGCGATCTTCATCCTTTGGCCAATTTTCAATACAGAATCTCATATCCACAAATAACGGTATCTGCAAGGTGTCAATTTGTCGGATGTAGAGGATAGGTCCCATAAATATCCCCGATACCAGCCAAGTGAAGGCTATAATGAGGAGAGCCTTATTAGGGGAGGTAACCCAGTTGGCTGTTAAAGGATGCTGTATTGAAATGTATCTGTCAATACTCATGGCTGTTAAAGTAAAAATACTCCCTGCAACGACTGTCCCTGGAAAAATAAACATTTTAAATTACTAACTGACATATTATATTAGTTCTTAAAATACAGATGGGACGTCATCCTTTGATGTTGACGGTCCATTATTTCAAATGAAATGAAATGGGGTTTAACGTCCTACTGTTCTGCTACTAAACTGGGCTAATGAAGACGGGCATACGCCATACAGTGTGCTATGAGGGAAATTTTACCCGGGCAGCGGCCCTACGGCCTACTCTTATATTGAATTCCAAGGGATCTTTTACGTGCACTCCAATGTATACACGGGGACCTCGGTTTTTCGTCCCACCCGAACGACTAGACATCTGTCCTTGTCAGCCCTCCGTCTTGCATCACTGAAAAGAGGAAACTACGCCGGAAAATCTGTATGAACTTTCTCGGTCAATGCAGGGATCGAACACCCGACCTCCAGGCTAGCGAGCCAGCGTATTACCCACTTGGCCACGTGATCCCCAATAATGGCACAGGTAATGTACCAAACGTACATTATTTATACTATTTGACGTATTTCATTGAGGACGTACAGGATAGTGTCTGTATTTTAAGTTGTTTAATGGTCTCGTGCAAGAAATTGCGTAATATATAGATATAGTACTCGTGCTAACGCACCCGTGCAGTATCAATATATTACTTAGTGTCTCACCCACGACCATTAAACTACACATATTTGCATAAACTATACATCTTTGTGGAAATAACCCAATTCTTAACCATCAGTCAGATGTCTTACAACTGGACCAACGTACGATGGAAGAATGCTGGTGACGACAATATACCACCAATATACTTAAAGGACAATGTTATATGAGACTGTCCAAGGATATCCGACAATGTATTATCGAAGCTAGCCTAGGTTACCACTATCACGATTCGCGCTACGATTGAAATCGTGGTTTTAATCTTGGAGTCATCGAGGTGATCCTATCATGTCTTATCGTATATTGGGGTCAGACCGGGGTGGCGTTCTTACTGTGCTACTACGGCGACGGAAAATGGTCCCAGAGCGCGTCCAGATCGCCATAAGCGTGGCAAATGCATGGTGGGAACGCCGGAAATCGTGCTGCGGTCTCCATGGTCGCAAATGATCGCCGAGTCACGGCGTTTGTCAATTTGGCTCTGCGATCTGACCTGGACAGCTGTGAGAAAGCGACTTTTTTCAAGTTTTTAATTTTTTGGGACATTTTCTCTCGTTGTGTTCACGTTTGCCGACGACATCGTACATTGGTCGCCTTACGGTCGCAGCAGCGCAGTAAGGACGCCAACCCGGTCTGACGGGGGCATTAGCAGTCGTGTTGATCGTATCGAAACGTATCTGTACGTATCAGATCGTGGACTCAATATAGACAATCCTATCGTAACGCCCCGCAAGACAGTGGAAACCATGCATAAACAAAAAAAACAAAAACATTGTCTGCTACTGACAGTCAATTGTCAGATATCCACTCACAGTCTCATATAACAACATTTCGACTTCAACGAAATTATCAGTGAAATGAAATTCGACCGTGTATCTGTTATCGCGCGTTACTTCAGTCAGTTAAATAACATACAAGGATAACTCGTGTTTTCCATTTTTCTTTAGAAATATCGTCTTCAGAATCGGTTTCATCGATATAATCCAAGTCGGAATCATTCATAAGAAATTCACCACTTTGCCAGTCTTCAACCTTATCGACATCGTTAAAAAATTACGTTTTTTGTCAAAACATGTTGAACAAAGATATGTTTTTTTCCTCAATGGTATTGACAAGACAAGTTCCTGTCTGACACGCATGCGTGGCGATATCAATTAAATACAAAACTAAATACTCAAATGCGGCTTGTAAAAAAAGTTCTTGCTGTGGTCGACTTTAGTCGACCGTGACCACTTAGCTGTATAACGTTGTGGTGATTATAGTCGACAATGACCGGTTAAGGGTCAAAACGAAAATAATAACAGGTATAGAAGTTAGAACAGCCGTAGAAATTGGTGGCCCACCATGTGGGGGTGCGAGGTGGGGTGGGGTATAAATGTATAAATATTAGAAACCACCGGGAAGTAATTGGTGCCATTTCCGCCAATTGCGATAAAATATAAATTTGGTGGTTCTCGCTTGACACGGGAAAGAGGGCGTGCAAATAACGATAACCGGAATTCGAACAAGAATATGCCGTAATGAATTCCACCATCCGGGTAAAAATGCTCTCATAGCATATTATATGCCCGTCTTCCAAGCTAGAAAAAGGCCGTTAAAGCTCATACATTTTAGGACTTTTCATGACACCGTAGTTTATTCTATCCGCCCCACTTCCAATAGCCAAAACAATTACCACTCAACCGTACTGGTTTATACATACATTATGCAAGAGATAAATCTGTCTATTGCTGGTCTTTCTTTAGGCCTGAAATGTTATCTAAATTATTAATTAGACACTAAGATCAAGTCGTAGACGAGCGGCGCGTCATGCGTAGGTTGGTGATAGAGAATCGAGTAGGACAATTTACCGCCTCGAGTATGGTGTTGTTAAGTATTTATAGTAATAACCTAATTAAGAAACAAAGCCTTGAATTATTTATCTGCTTCCTTAGAAAAAAAACAACATGTCCTACGTTCTAATGAAGACGGGCATACGCTATGATGCCCATTTTGCCCGGACAGCGGTGCTGTGGCTACTCTTATATGGAATTCAAACAGCCAAGGGATCTTTTACGTGCAAGCAGGGAGTCAAGTGGGTAAGGCACTGGCTCGCTAGCCAGGGGGGCCCGACAAGGACAGCTGTCTAGTCCTTCGGATGATACGAAAAACCGAGGTCCCGTGTATACATTGGAATGCACGTAAAAGATCTCTTGGCAGTTGGAAATCGATATAAGAGTAGGCCGTAGTGCCGCTGCCCGGGGAAAATTTCCCTCATAGCACACTGTATGGCGTATGCCCGTCTTCATTAGCCCAGTTCGGAGCAGAACAGTAGGACGTTCAACCCCATTTCATTTCATTTCATTTCAAGCAGATATATTCACGGGATCTGGTTTGTCGTCCCATCAGAACGACTATATACATTATCTCTTGTCAGACTCTCTGTCCTACATCACGGTAAAAGGGAGAACCACGTGGGGCAATCCAAAGGAACGTTCTTGGCCAACATTGGGATCGAATAAGGACCTCCAGGTTAGCGAGCTAACAGCTTACTCACTGAACCAGCGCGACTCCCATACGAATGAGGACGAGCTTGTAGGCCACGCCTTATTCAGTGTTATATTGTACCTACCTTGTAAGGGGGTTGGATGGCTGAATGGTTAGCACGTGTGCGCTGTATCATACAGTCTGTCATTGAGTCATGGTTTCGATTCCCCGGTTGTACGTGACAAGGAGTAGGATCGCCTGTCCAACCTTGTGCGTTTTCTCCGGGTCCTCCGGTTTCCTCCCACTGCTAAAGACCCCTACGCGCAAGCGAATTATGGAAATTAAATTGAACCATATGTTAGTCTTGAAATGTCCTAGTTTGTGTCGAGTGGACGTTAAACCCCATTTCTCTCTCCCTCTCTCTCTCACCTTACCTTGTAAAAATGCTGTAACTTTACACAAGAATTCACCGTATACCCACAATCGGTAAACAATCGTCCCAACGGACATGGGCATACAAACCAGGGTAACACAAAGATCACACACCGCCAAATTAATCAGGTAGAAATTCTTGGCCTTCCGGATGTGCTTATCGGTAAACACCGTCAACAGAATCAACACGTTACCAATCAGTCCAATTAAAAATACTGGCGAGTACAAGGCTAACAAAATAACAGTGGGGAAGTTGGTCAGTGTATAAAAACTTCTTTCAAAATCGTCCAAAATGTCCTTGAATCCCGAAAAGTTATAAGGCGAGTTACTAAAGGTACTTAGGTTAGCTGTTTCTAGAAATCTCTTGTAGGTTATGTACTCCGATTGCTGGTCCAATCCAGGGTCGAAGTCCACTGGTAAAAGCTGTAAAGAAAAAGAAACAACAGGCGTGTTAAAGTTGTTAATAGTTATTTTAAGTATTTGAAAGCTGATTAAATTCTCAAAAAGGAATGTCAGTCCATATGTGATGCCCCGACATTGAGTATTTGCAAAGATATAATGAATTGAACATACGATATAACAAGTGACAGACCACCATATTGGATAAAATTTGAAGAGTCCAGGGGAAAAACGATCTAAGTCACATTTTTATCTTTTCGCATAAAAGGCAAAACAGACTTTTAGACGAGAATGCCTGGCGCGAACAGAACAACGAGTGGGTTTAATTACAACTTCAAAATGATGTTTAATACGAATCATAATTACCAGTACAACAACTGACTTCCACTTTTCAGCCAAATTAAGGTCAAATTAAGGGTACGATGGGCTTGTATTGTCCGGGGGGCCACTTCCGATGGGCCTTGGTTCAATGTGACCCCGATCGTTTTTACCTGAAATTGATTGTTCCACAGAAAGCTTATACAATTTGCTACCAGATGGTGCCATTAACTGGGGTTCGTTGAAAAGGTGACTTAGATCGTTCTTCCCCTGGGCTCTTCATTTATGAAGGGCTTTTGTTTTACTTCGGTTGAAGTAAAGCTGGAGATTATAAACCCTTAGATATTATGGTTATTTGATTAATTTGAGTACATTTTAACGTGCAATAAATTGCAAGAAATTAGATATTGTACTAAAACTGGAAATTGCATAGATAAGCAAACTTCTCAAGTAATATTGATGCCATGTGAATTTTAAACAGGGGGAAAGAATTGGATAACATAGATGACATAATCAGACTCTACAATTTGTTCTGTCAACTCTCACTAAACAAGAATTCGCTTTCATCAATAAACTCAAATGGCACTGTCAGGAAATTTAGGCCAAGTCCCAAAACATGAAAAGCTCAATTACATCTTATAGGTTTCTATCTGAAATTGTTTCGCGCCTATGGCGCTCTATTCCATTATAGCGTAATTTTTCCTCCACTCCTCTGTGAAGTCTCAGCACTATCATAAACCCCGTTTACATTACAAATTTTAAGCGTGCCAGGAACGGTAGCAGGCACGGCACGGTTAATTTTTTTGTAGTGTAAACGGGTCAAACATAAGCGTGCCGTACTAAGTACCGTGCCAATCTGGCCCACTGAAATGAGGTGACGTCGGCACGGTACCAGGCACGGTACGGTTAAATTTTCGTAGTGCGCGAAACAAACCTTGACCTTTTCCCCCGCAAACTTTGACAGTTCTGTCAAAATGGCTGCTCAAACTAAATCAACTATCATAATTGTTTTCATCAGGGTAATTTGCATAGGGACTGAAATTAACTTTTCTGTAAAGAGTTCCACATTTGGCGTGCTTGGCACGGTTCCAAGAATGGTTATTTTACAGTAAAGTAAACGGGTCAATTTCTAGAAATTCATCGCGGCCTTGTACCGTGCCCAGAATGGCACGCTCATCGCGGCGAAGCGTAAACGGGGCTATATTCACGGTTATAGTGAACCGCCCAGTTAGTACAACCACTAATAATGTGTGGGGCGACCGATTGTACAAATTTTCTGTTAACTCTTCACAAAACGGGTGGAATTGACGGTCAGACCCCAAGACTCTCCTTTCTGATCCTCTCGTTCACAAGAATTTGCTCCGAGCAATGACCTCTGAAGCCAGGATTTTAATTCAAATTTTCAGAATTTTCTCAGACGGAGACCCCTACCTCAGACTCCACCCCTTCAGGGTTGCTCAGAGTTATAGTCACTTATCTAAGGTTGACAAAATCAGTAATAGAATAACAATCATCGTTATTATATGACCATATTCCTGAAGCAATGGCCCGAGAAATCCCTCTCTGGCCATTGCTGGATTGGCTTCTGATACTTGAACTTTTGAGGGAGTGTGTCTATTCTCCCCGTTCAATCAAATCTATCCCAAGTACAGCAACGTGACAGCCCTTCGTTTAATCTGGGGTCTTCCCTAAAACTTTGGACAGTGATTTAAGGTATTAAAAACGGTGAAAGTATGTTCGTCTCCAAACAATATTGTTTACATTGTTTTCGATTTGATAGCCTCGTTTGTCACGCAATTGGTTTTTCTGAAATATTTTCCTATGCACTGGTTAATTGGGCATAATAAAATCGTGAGTCAGGAAGTAACGTTATGTAAACATATTTGGTCTAATTTGGAGCTCTGTTTTAAGCGTAATGCTTTTGTAACGCAGTTAGGTGTTGGTTGTTAATCAGTCCATTGACCAGTTATAATTTGGAACAGAAATTTGCTTTCGTTAAAACAGTGTTTAGTGGGATAAAACAAACAAAACATTGCGAGGAGTATGTTATATGGCATGAACATTATGTCAACTTGAAAAAAAAAACCTGCTTTTTGGCGAGATAACAACTATATTTAGGCAACACGATCTATGTTCTACCGGAGCTTTCAGACAGTGTTATAACCATTATTTTGTTCACATTTATTGTGGGTGGGAATGTGGATGGTGCCCTTGTGTGTGTGTGGGGGGGGGGGGAGCTTAGACATACCAATCTATTCTTTTCCACATAAAATCGAATCCATGGTGACGCATTGAGTAAGGCGTTGGTTCGATAAAAAGAAGGTTACGTGTTTGATCCCTTTGTTGACGGAGAACGTTCATCAGGATTTTCCGGCATGCCCCAACCCCCCCCCCCACACACACACACACACTTTGACAGTGGTGCAGGATGAAGGGCCTGACAAGGGAAAATGTATAATTATTCGGGTGGGACTAAAACCCGATATCTCGTGAACACATTCGCGTGCACGTAAAATAACCCTTGACAGTTGGAATTCAAAATAATAATAAGCCGTAGTGTCGTTAGCCAGGCATGATTTCATCGCGGCACACTCTATTCGCGTACACATAAAAGATCCCTTGACAGTTGGAATTCGATATAAGAGTAGGTCTTAGCGTCGTTAGCCAGGCAAGATTTCCCTCGCAGCACACTGTATTGGCGTGCACATAAAATATCCCTTGACAGTTGGAAGTCGATATAAGAGTAGGTCTTAGTGCCGCTGTCCAGGCAAAATTTCCCCCACGGCACATCCGACTGTCCGCCATCATTAGCCCAGATGGTGCAGGATGTAAAACCCAACTTCATTTCGTTTCGTTTTTTTGGTGATAGTAGGTTTCCAGTCACGTATTCTGCCAATTCCAATTGGCAACTGTATAGTACACAGGACACGGTCAGACTGCAATTGTTGTTGTTTAACGTCCGCATCCACCGAGAGTGATATTGCAGACAATTTCAGCGCATGCGCAGGCGTATTTCCTGTTGGAGGATATCGGAGTTCTGGAGTAAACCCACGAGGTTGATAAGGCGTTCCCAATCTCCAAGCCACATACACTTAGACAAGGGATCGAAACTACCACCGCATAAAAAGAGGAGACCGACTAGCTGGAGCCCGACACTATGCACCACTTGGTTTGTATTTATAGAAAATTAAGTCGCAACTAGATATTGCAATCTTATTATAGTAATCAACATCGCGTGAGATGGTAAGATATTTGACGCAGGAACCCGATTATAGACATGTAATTTGTATAGGCAACAGCACTGAATAAACCATGAATAATAGATTCCACATCACCCAATGACGTATTACACATTTAAAGAGACCTTGCTCACTTCCTGCTAGACAACAACACTGTTCAAGTATGCTTCAATGTATGGAAGACTAAACAGCTTTTTATTCAGTGTTCTTAGTCTTTATTTCTTAATTCATCGTTCTTAATTAGTATTTCTTCATTTGTTGTCGTATTTCGACATTTGTATACTAAAATTAACATTTGTGTTTTAAAATCAACATTTGCTTTACAAATCAGACATGTGTCATATCAGATTTGTAAAATGTATTTTAATTGTATTTCAATATAAAGATAAAATTTATTTTAGAAAATCAAAAATTAGCCTACATTTAAATTTCATCAGAATATACAACGAAAAACAAATCTCGAACAACAAATTTCTAAATACAAATCTTGCAAAACGTTTCTCCAAAAACATTTCTCTAATGTTCCATCGAACCGGAATATTATGACGACACGAGCATACAATAAGTCGCCAAACAATAAAGGAGAATCGAGCAAGCATATTATATACAATAAGAAAATCGAAATGCGACAACAAATGAAGAAATAAGAATTAAGGACTATGAATTAAGAACTAAGAATTAAGAACACTGAATAAAGAGCTGTTTGGTCTTCCATATTAATGCATTAGTCAGTAAATTATATATAAGTAATATGTAGTCTGTATATAGAAATTAGACAATAGTCATTAATTAGAACTATTTATAGTACCCAACATTTGTCGTGACGTAAACCCTATCATTTTAAAGTCCTCATGCGACATTTTAAGCATCACTTATAAACTATGATATTGTGAAGGATGAATCTAGCAGAGAGAGGGAGAGACAGAGAGAGGGAGGGATGGGGTTTAACGTCCACGCGACACAAACTAGGTAATTTCTTGACTAACATATGGTTTAATTTTATTTCAATAATTTGCTTGCGCGTTTAGGCCTTTAGCAGTGGGAGGAAACCGGAGGATTCGTAGAAAACCCACGAGGTTTGACATGCGACCCTACTCCTTGTCACATACAACCGGGGATTCGAAACCACGCGTAGGGTCTTTATCAGTGGGAGGAAGTTGAGGACCCGGAGAAAACCCACGAGGTTGGATAGGCCCTGAGATTTCACGCGCACGCGTTAAACCACTAGACCACCCAACACCCCCCTTTCAAACAGAAGCCGACTTGGGGGGTCACGGT